GCTGCTTCTATGTGAATAGCTTCTTTTGGCAGAGGTCTGGAGATCAGGAGTCAAGTCAGTTCCCAGCCAACATTTAGCCATGTTATGGCAAGTATGCAGTGTAGATCTGCCTGAAAGGTGGGTGTGAAAAATGAAAGACAAGAGTCTGGTCACGGAGTATTACACATGGTGGCCAAAGAGCCTGAAGCAATAATGAGTTGTGAGTAGCTTGTGGGGAGGACCAGGCTGCAGGAGGCCGCTGAGCCATGTAGTGTCAGCCTGTGTCATGGGGATTAACACAGATCTTCAAGTTCTTGGGGGATGCATGGCCTGGTCTTCAGGTACTGTGCAGTTAACAAAATAGGAGGCTTTCTGAAACATTCAGTTATGCTTTCAGATTTTTCATCTAGGTTTAAGGTTTTGATTTAAGGCTAGGAAGACAAATGTAACACTGAAGTAAATAGAAGGTTGTAGCACAGATATTTATACACAACATATCAAACATTTATATACGGGCACTTTCTCTAGCTAAATTAATTCCAACTACAGAAGACATGTGGACATTTAAAGTTCTCAGTATCCTAATTTTTATAATTAATTTATTATAATGTATAATAGAACTTTTGTTTTACATAATTTGGGAAAGAAAATACATTATTTTTCTAACTCAGATTCTGTACATTGATTTTCTTTGAACTTCAATTCTCAAGTAAGTTCTTAAGCTACTTCAGATGTGTTAAGGAATATTCAAAACCCAAATACTACCAAGTTTGGTAAAGACATGAAATAATGTATCCCATGATGATGCCAGCTATTGTGATTGTAGAAGGAACAACTCTCAGTGATTCTGAGGGAAAAGATAAGTCTAAATGAAAGGTTTGTGACATCTTTCACTAATGAGTGATAACTGAACAATGGTTAAAGCCTTGTTAATCTTGTGGTATATTGAAAGTGCAGATATGTGTGGGAGATTAGGTATGCTTTTTTGTGTCTATGTGAAATACAAGGTGACTGTTAAGTTCCTAATTCAGTGTTTCTTCTTTTTGCTGGTGGAGCCATTGGCTGGTTTCTGTCATAGAGATGGTTCTTCCTAATAAGTAATCCCATGATACAGGAGTAATGTTTTAAAAACATCTGTAGAATGGAGCAGTTTTGCTAAGAAATACAAATTTTGACAAAATTTTTTAGAATTATTGTTAAACTGCAACATTTATCAATGACATGTAGAGGATGTAGAATGTGTAGGAATTTGATTGGGGAACAGAAGTTTCAGTTTGTGTTTCAAGCAGTTTGTAAGCCAGTGTTTCACTGATTTTCTGTTCTTCTCTCTTAAGCAACTTCACTTTCTTAGAGTAGAAGAGGTAATTTAGAAGTGGAAGGTTCTGAAAGCAAGAATGACCTCCAGTGGTACAGCCTACTTGTGAGCAAGGGGTGTAGTGTTGGAAGAGCAAAGGAATTTATCTGCTGAAAAATTCTCTCTCTGCTTCTACAATGGCACAAAATCATCCATATCTTCTGGACTTTTGCCTTAAGTCTTCATAATGCTGCCATCAGCAAAGTCAGTTTTGGTTCAGATGTCCAAGTGAGGGAACCCCTCACCATCGGGGTGCAAGTGGCAGCATAACCACTTTTGGGAGAAAAGAAGGAAAAGACTTCATGGAGTATCACTCTGGAAAACACTGCTGTCAGGAGACAAATCAGGTCAGTGATGAGCACTACAGTGAAGATTAGTGGACAAGGCTGGTAAATTAAGCCTCGCTGGTATTTTAAACCAAATAATAGTGTTTATTGTCTTCTCCATGTCTCATGTGGAAGCTCTCTAGTTGTGCAAATATGAGAACTGGGGATTTAATTCTACTGGGGATTTAATTCAATATCTAGAGATATTGAGTAAGTCCTTTTATGTAAATAATGGCTTTTTCATAGAAGCAGAAAAAAGACCTCTTTAAAATTTGTGTTTCCATTCTGAGCGGACTAAAAGGGTAACACAGACATTGTAAAAGACAAGAACTGGGAATAAAAAAAGCATTTTTTTAGAGTTGTTTTGAGGGAGGAAAAAGGCTGGTGCATTTCCAAATGAGGATGCAGTCTTTGTAGGAACTTCTGACACACCTTTAATGTTCACACAAGTAGGAAATGATAGTAAACAGTTAAGAAATGAGTAATGTATGGTAGTAGACAAATACTTTTGATTGTACAGTCCAACTTACACCAATAACAATTGGTCTTTCAATAACAGTCTTGTTTCGTGTGATGAGTGCCTTTGTGACATGATAATGGCTATCTGACACATATCAGGCTTTGAGACAGTCAGTGATGCTCATTATCAAAATATCACAGCACAGCAAAGCCCCAGTGACTGTTATACTGCATGTTTTACCCTGCAACAGGCCCAATCCAATTTAATTTGGTAAACTACGGTAATTTCACGATTATAAGATGCACCTGATTATAAGCCGCACATCTGGGTGTCAGCAACTGTCTTGGGTTACAATACAGGATGTGATAAAAGGTATCTATTCTATCACCATCTGTTGAGGGTGGGGGCAGTGATC